GCCTCACTACAGAGTGATTTATCAGGGCTCCAGGAGAGGCAGTGCTGTAAAGGAGAGCCAAGATGTATAAGCAGACCGTAAGGAGAGCATACTGGGCAGAGAGGACCTCTCAGCAGGATGGAAGAAAAGCAGTTCAATTAACACAGTCTGTGACAGGACAAACATTCCTTGTGGTGACAGCATCTGTTTAAGCAATGTCTCTGCTCTCTCCTGCTCCTCTGGTGTTCCCACACTGCTTTTTGAGAGGCTGCAGAGAGGACCACGGGAGGGGGCCAATCTAGCAGAGAGGCATTAAGAACAAAGGTGAGGCAGATTACTTAGCTGCCACTACAGCTGAGAATAGTCAAACCAGACCCTGCTTCCAACCTGGAAATGGTTGCCTAATTCATACATAGCATTAAACTTGGAGCAATCTGAAGAAAAAAGCCAGTTAGCACCTGAGGATTATATTGGGGGATGTTAAGAAAGTGATAAGGTTGTTAATGCAATCACACCCCTCTCAGGAAATGGGAGAGGATGCCATTCCCAGGTAATTGCATTTCAGCAGGGTTCCTCCTGCTGGACTCCCATCAGCTCACTTCATAATAATTCAGCCTGTCCCTTCAAAGTAAATAGGATGTAACTTACAGGGCATAAAGATCTCCAGAAGGACTTTTAGACTTGCCCTTCTGGTGCTGGAAGGAGGTTGCGCTGAGTCAGACGAAACTTGGTATTATTTTGGGGATTAATTCCCAGTCAGGGTTCAGTGGAAGCTCAGGAAAGTGTTGCCAGCTGGGAACATTCTTGGCACAGTTAAGCCTATTTAGGGTGTGCTACCTACTGAAAAAGGAAACTAAAGCGTCCTTCCTTTCCATACTGTGTTCCTACCATTGCTGACACCTGAGCTCAGCTCCTTTGGAGATGGCAGCTGAGAGTGGCAGCAAGCACACTGGCTTATTGTGGATTTATACTACATGGCATGTACCTGAAGTACTGCACTGTTGCCTATGCAGGTGGGAATCAGTTATTCTGCTGGATGCAAGGACTGTGTAGGAGTCTGCTGTCCAGGATCCAAGTCAGAGTCCTGAGAAAGAAAGGAAGTACTTTTAGCATCTGATGCCAAGCTTGGTCTGATGGAGCAAGTCACATCAACTAATCATACGGATCCTTTCTGGCACGAAAGAAGGCATCACTTGTGAGGAATTGTGCTGGCCTAGTAAATGGGCTGAGCTAGCTTCATTCAGCTTGGTGGGGTGGTTTGTGTTAGCAACCGTATCCCAGGAACTGCCCTGTGCTCCCAGCAGCATCTGAAAATACAGGTTGGTCAAGCAACACTGCAAGGCAGAAACAAGCCTAAACTACCAAAGCACAGATCCAGTACTGCACCACGGAGAGGACTAGAGCAAGTCTTTAAAGACACTTCAGGTGGCTTTAGTAGGAAACTCCATTTAATGAGATAGATTCATCCCCCCACCCAGGAGTTCAGCTTTGTTCATGGGTTTCAGGGAGTTTTAGAGTGCTTATTCTGCACATGACAGGATATGGCTCAGTGGAGTGACTCACTCCCTGTAAAGTTAATTCACACTTTGCTGCTATTTCCATTCACAGGTTCTTCTGTAAGCTTTAGTGCCAGGAAGCTGCAAAGCTGGGAGCCAGTTCCAAATATTCCCACAGGTTACTTTACATCTAGCAAATAGTAGACTGCAGGAGGACAGTGTGATCTCAGAGTTTGTTTAAAAAAAACCAAAAAACAAAAAAAAACAAACAAACAAACAAAAACAAACAAAAACACAACCCACCAAAAAAACAACTGCAAACAAAGGAAAAAACTTCCCAACAACAAACAAACAAAAAAACAACCACACACCACAACCCCCCAAAACCCCACAACCTCCCCACACAAAACACAAGTTCCCCAATCATGTTTTGTTGGCAGTAATTTCCTATTCCCTTCTAATTTCTGAATCCTATTTGCTCATTACCTCTGCAACATTTACCTCTCTGCTGAACCACCACACCACACTCAGCAACCTCATTTCCCAGTTCTCTGACTTTGGAGCAGCTATGGGAGCCCAGATGTGGACAGGCAGGGGTCTTGACTTATCTGTAATGTTGAAGATGGGGCTAAAAGTCCTGTGAGCTATCTCAGATAGAACCTTTGCATCCTGTGTGGCACAGGCAAAATTTTTCATCATTTGAACAATGTTTAACTACCAAGGTACGTTAAATAAAACCGGTTGCTAAATTACCCACCAGCCTAATGACAGAGCAGCATGATGTTATTAAGGCTCCAAATGCAAGTCCTACATGGGCTTGATTCACTGAGTGCTGGGAGGGCCTCCTGACCGGCCCCTGGATGGTAGCTGCTGGGGAGAGGCATCGAAGGCTTTGGATGTTTGCTACTCCATCCCCCTCAGGAGCTTTCACCCTGAGTGGCTGCTGAGGTAGGTAGAGAAAGATTAACTTTTAGAGGCAAGAGAAGGAACTTTGAAAGTTTCAGCTATGAGGCGATTTTTATCATTGCCAATGGGGGTTAGGACATGGAGTGAGAAATGAGGCTATTTTCCCTCTTATGCTATTGTTAATAAAATGGAATAATTCCTCCTCCATGTTAAAGCCCAACTTAATTTGCGCTGACAAAATTACAAACACAAATTGTGGACATTAAAAAAATTTATTTGACCAAATATTAGATGCAATCACAGAGGAAGAAAGTAGCTCTTAGTACAGTTTCTTTTCCAGAATGAAATAATCCATGTTTCATACCAAGCTACTGCAGGACAACCCTTGCTCTCCTCGGCAGGAGAGAGGCTGGTGTTCTTTCCACCTGTGGATTTGCTCCAAAGAGTTATGGCATGCTCTTTGGCAGGTCACACCACAGCTCTCAGTCTCACAGGCTAAGGAAATGTGTAAAGACCCAACAAACTGAACTACAGTCATACAGCAAAGGTGCCTGTACAGGTAGGAATACATGCAGGGAAGCACTGCTGAGAGCTTTGTTCAGAAACTGGTGTCCTACCTAAACCTTTGTCGGACATGTCACTTCTAGCTACCGCCTCTATACTCACCATCTCTTAGGACTCCTCCCAGACCTGAATCGCATTTCAGTAGGAGAGTCCTTTCAACTTTCAGCTCATTTTGCTACACTATCCTTTTCAGGTCTCTAAGCTTTGCCCTACAAGTAGCTCCAAGGCTGTGGGCCACTTCCCTTTGCAGGAAAACTCGTCCACCTCTTTTATCCTGCAGTAATACCCAGGGAGACAGCAGGCTTCTCATGTCCTAGGGACTACGTGAACTGCACCACAAAAAGAGATAGTTGTGAGAGATGTTTGCAGGCATCTGTTTAGAGCCAGACTGTATTACTTGCATTTGTCTTTTTACAGGCTCGCTAGCTCATGTAAGCTTGCTTTTGGACCAGGACAAACCATCCAGAGCTATATCGCTTTCTGTCACATCACTCCAGAGCATTCCCCAAGTGATGGGCCATGGCCAGATGCACAGAACACCCTGAGTATTGAAAGTATTGCTTGACAGACCCGTCACACCCTCTGCTACATAAACCAAAATGAAATGTCTCTGCAAAAGAAGATTTAGAAATTGATGAAAGTTCTGTAATAAAATGTGAATAAACTCACCAGGATATTAACCCCCTAAGAAACAGGTGAGAGGGGAAGGGAGCAAACACAGCAAATGTTTTTCTCCAGCAGAAATTTCATGGATTGCCTTTGCTTTTGATTTCATCTGATCAAGCAGTGACTTTTAAGAAAGGGAAGCACAACAGAAATAAGCCCTGTACCCTCCCTTCCTGTTCTGCAGCCTCAGGAAGAACCGTACAAGGTAAATTCTGTTCTCTTGTGTAGATGTGAAATGGAGGATTTTACTGATGAACAGGAACTCTCTCTCACTACAGCACCCTCCTTTTGATTTGGAACTGAATGTATGGATAATATTACTTTGGAATTGATACCACTAGCAAATTTTTCAGGTCCCTAGAAGATTCCCTGAATATTAACATCTCAGCTAAGTAGAATCACAACTTTCATTTAACAACATTCATTCTTCTTTCCTTCTCCACCTTCCTTTCTTCATTCCATCCTTTTCCTTTTTGTTCTCTTCCTTTTCTTCCTTCTCTCTCCTTTCATTACATGTGTGGCTCTCCCTCTACATTTACCCCTTGGTAGTGTTATGAAAGCCTTTGCTGACAGAGTTTTGTTGCTGCTAGACAGAGCCACTCATCGCTGTTCCTCATCTGTTCTTTCTCTCAAAACTACACACACACAAAAAGCCTTTCAAAGTAGGTCCCCAAGTCCACAACTACCTCTTAGGATAGGACTATAACACTGGCCCCCAGTGGACTAGACAGTCCTCTCAAAAAAAGTTTTGCTCACGGTATTACTATAGTCCCAGTTCATTTTCTCTTCAGCTTGCCAATGGCCTTTATTTAGGAAATACCTTCTTAGTGGTACTCTCAATAGAGGGCCTTTAAGAAAGAGTGTTGCTTTTTCACAGCCAAGGAACTTCAACCTAATTTGGCAAACAGAATCAGAGGGGGAACCAAAGTCTCACGTTACAAACTCTGCAGCCCATGTCTGACCACACTGCAGTCACCCCTGCCCTAATCTCTGCCAAGCCTGTAAATCAGCCAAAACACAGGCTGATTTCAAAAGTCCCCCACATTTATTATGCTGCACCAGAATTTCAAAAGTGTGTGAGCTTCGACCAGGAAACTGGTCATTTTGAACAATGTATGGAACCTGCCTGTTCAGGGGCACTGAGTCTTCATGTATTAAAGGCTCCCCTTAGTCTGTGACACTACAGACATGTCCAGCAGGTATTATAGCTGCCTGGACCATTCTACATCTTGGCACAACGGCAATCTAGTTCATGTCTCCTAGGCATCTGATACTGTACCCAGCAAGAGACAGGTTTCCAAGCCCAGCAGCTTATCATACCCTCCTTGCTGGGGCCATAGGAGCAGTCACTCCAAGAAGGTGCAGAGCCAATACTGGCATGAGGTGTTTCTTTTCCTTCCTTTAAAGCAGCTTCAGACAAAGCAAAAGAACTTCTTCCAGCGGCACTTGGAGAGAGTCTTGATGCCTTTGGCGGTCATCTTCTTTTCCTGACGGGCTTTGTGCTCAACACCACTGACAATGGCCATGTCAAAAACTTCTTTGAGGTTCTTTTGAGTCAGTGCTGAGCATTCCAGGTAGGCTTCAGCCCGGATTTTGTCAGCTAGACCTTCTGCCTGAGGCCGCGGCACGGGCTTCACATGGTAGCGATCCAGGCTGATGAGGACATTGACATCGTCCCGCAAGTCTGCCTGTGTCCCCACTAGCAGCACTGGTGCCCGGGGGTTGTGAGTTCGTATCTCAGGAATCCACTTCTCAGTAATATTTTGGAAGGAGCTTGGGTTTACCACACTGAAGCAGACAAGGAAGACGTCGGTGTCAGGGTAACAAAGAGAGCGCAAACAGTCAAAGTCCTCCTGCAGAAAAGAGGGGAAAAAGGAAGGGGGGGGGAATTAAAAAGAAGTCTTCACTGGACTGATCTTCTAATAGCATGATACTTCAGTAGCTTTTCCATGTGTTAACTAGGACAGCAACACCCTCAGAGGCAGAGCACTGTACTGATTTTGTGGCCATGCCGTGTTTCAGACACAAGTTTCTGAGCCATTGACCAAATGGCTGGTGCTGCACTAGTGCATTTCTTTTATTCCCAGTTTAACACTGCCTTTCTCTAAAGCCTGCAACAGTCTCTGTCCCACAAGATCAGAACTGAAAGATGCTTAGACAGAGCTTACCTGTCCAGCAGTGTCCCACAGCTGAATCCGGACTGGGGCTCCATCCACAAGGACCTGCACTGTAGCAGAAAGAGAATGAGGATGAGTCTAAAGCAGTTGACCAGCATGCACAGGTACCCTTGCACAGGCTTTTCCCTTTACTGTGGGTCATATCCCACTGAACAGACTCACTGAAGTCACTTAAGTCTGTCCTCCTAGCTGACCATCCTGCCAGACCTCACTAAAACAGCTAAAGTTTGAGCTGGGTACATTAAAAGACCTGCAATAGACCTGATTTTGTTAGCTCTCAGGTGTTTTTGTGTACTTGTCCAGTATTTTGAAAGAATAGTTCCACATTACTGAACAACTGTTCCTCTAGAGAAGAGGAACCCTTAGCCAAACGGTGTCCTGATTAACCACTCATCCTTCTTCCACAACACAGGAAAGAAGATAAGGATAAAAACAAACTGGGAACTTCAGCAAGTTGCTCCTCACTTCCTGGCCAAGGAAACTTAAATCATTTTCAAACAAGCTACTGGGAGATCTTTCCCATTCAGACCGCAAATTTGGTTTTAAAAAAAAATTTCTGTGAGTGTCCTAGCTAAGGAAAAACAAAGAAATGAAATGAAGAAGCTATTAAGGAAACAATGATGAGTGAAATCCCCTTCAGAGACTATCCACACACCGAAAACTAGAAAACTGCTTAGTTACACATGTAAAGTTTGCTCCCATTTCACTCCCTAATCACAATAAGCCTTCATGTGGTATCAGCTGACTCAGACTGTGGGCTCTGATGGAAATCTGGAATGAAACTGTTAGATGTTTAAGCACATAGATACCAAAGAGACTGGTTAGGAACTGAGGAAAAGGAGAAAATGGTTGGGGAGCTGGAAGTCACTTGAAAATCTGGACAAGGTGGATGGAGTTGTGGTTGGATGAATAGAGGCAGACATCAAGGCTAAGGTGACAATGCTGGCACTTGACACGAGCTAGCAAAACTCCATTACTGTGTGCAAAGGGGAGGCTTCATTGTCGTCTTCATTAAAAACAAAAGCAAAATCAAACAAAAAAACTTCCAAACAGAAACCAGATCAAGTTTTTGTGATTCTTGAAGTAATCAGTCAGATGAGAAAACTGATAGAAACAACTGACTTAAAGAGTTTAACACAAGCTTCTGAAGTGTAACCCTCCTCCATGAAATCAATCCGATGGGGAATAAGAGGGAGACACAGACAAAAGATGACCTGAAATTTGGTGGGAGACTGAGACCGGAGGAAAAACGAAGTGGTGGGTGCGTCCACCACAGTGCCACTCCTCACAGCATAGCTGAAAGTCATTGCTTCCTTGTGACTGGGAAAAAGTTGGGTTGTTACCATATCTTTGCCCCAGAGGAGGAAGAGAAACCTGTTCCTGATCAAAGAACCTGCTAGTTCCTGACTTGATCTTCAAGGCAGGAGGCATTTGCCTTTCTAGTATCTGGTTTCCACTGTCTCATAAGTACACTGAGAGAAGGAATTAGCATCTCTGAAATGTTTTGCCGTCTTCAGCAGACAGGTACCACATATATTACCTACAGCTCCCGTGTTTGCACAAAGTTTTGTCATATCTGCTGTTAGCCTCAACTACACTAGCAACTCTGCAACCGCCCTCCAAATACCGCCCTCACAAGGTCCGCGCCCTCAGGATGAGGATGGATCACGGTACAATAGCAAAGGGGCCGGCAGAACAGGATAGCCTGGTGGAGAAAGGTCACTGGGTACGCGTTTCACCCAAGGCTGCTCTACCTGGCAGCGACACCCAGCAGGAGGTAGCATCCAGGCAGATGTATGTGGCTGGGTCACTGTCCCAGAGCTGTTCCCCTAATAATGCAATACCTTGCCCTATCTTATTATTGGCATCACAGTCCCATGACCAGGATTAAAGTCAGGATGTAAAGTGCTCAATTCTGCTGGCAGTTGCAATTGCAGGTATTCCCCAAGAGTGGGAGGAATTGGGTTGAAATTTCTGAAGAGGATCCTGAACCATAATTTGCGAATCCAGGAAGGGACTTTCCTCAGATTTATCCAGGTTAAGAGCAGGGGTGGGAAAGGAAACTTATCTATTCTCTCATTTCCTCCCAAGAGGCAGAAATTGAACTTCAGAATACCCATATTTAATGTTTTTGATTTCTATCAGTAGCAAATCCTATGCATCTCTGAAGGCAGGCTTAGTACTTGGGACATCCAGGTTGGAGCTAAACCCATGTGCAGCTATTTTCAAATTGCCTATTGCTAATGGGGGCATCTCTACACTCATGCTGCCTTCACCTTTCTGGATAATTTTACTATGGATTTGATCTTTCAAAAAAAAAAAAAAAAAAAGTGCAGGCTAATAACAGTAATTTTAAGCTTCTCTTAGCCCAAACCATACACAATGTAAATGGGGCAGAGAGAGAAGTAACTTTTCCCTTGAAGCACTCATGACTCCTTACATTTGTTCCCGAAAGGCTGCTGGACCCTGAACAGCAACATGTTCCCAGTTCATTTCCTTCAAGTGACAGTGGAAGAGAGGGTCAAGGTAAATCAACAATTCCCAGTGTAAGAGTGAGCAAGTGGGGGGACATTCAGACAAACAAAACACTCCCTCTAAGCACCTTGAGACTATGACACATTAGATGTCTCATTCCTGGTCTGAGTCGAGCACATCTCTAATCTACCAATCTATATTATCAAGTGCTGTTGTGTTTCTTCATATCAAATGAAGATAAGAAATCTTTCAAAGGGCTTTGTATTCTTCTGGGGTTTGTATTAGAAATCGGAGCCCAAAGGAAGAGGAATGTAGAACAAGAACAAAGATAGCATTTAGAAAAGTGGAAACTAATGAGAGCTCATCAGCTGACAGCGAAGGCAATTCTAGCCTGACTTACAAAGCTCTTCAACTTTTTGCCAACCTCTCTTCAGTGCTAACTTCAGCACACACGTGGGGAACACGATGGTTTTCCTCAATGTCAGTTGAAGCTAGAAAGCCTACAGTGCAATGCTGTGATATTTCTGAAACTAAAACCACCACAAACAACAGTAATGAAAAAATTAAGCCCCCATCTATTTAGTCGTAACGACACGACAAAACCATTAAGGTGCCCAAGTTCATGGCACTTGCAAACCAACTCGTCACACACTGGGTTGACACAGAGCTGCAGAACGCAGGACCTGCATCTGCTAAACCTCGCAAAATGCCCGAGGGACTCGGTCCGAGTCACAGAAACGCCCTCGGGCTGCGGGCCCCCGGGCTGCGCTGAGCGCAGAGCCCCCGGCGCGCAGCACTGCCGGGAGCTGCGGCACCGGGAGCGCTCACCTCTGCCCCGCTCGTCCCGCCGCCGCGCCGGAGGGGGATCCCTCCCCGCCGCCCCAGAGCCAGAGCAGCCCGGGAGGGCACCTACCGGAGAAGGTGTCGAGGGCGGTGGGCTGGTACTCGTCGGGGTACCCGTTGGTGGTGTAGCTGACCACCAGGCTGGTCTTGCCCACGGCGCCATCGCCCACCAGCACGCACTTGATGCCCAGCTCCGGGCCGCTGCTCCGGGGCGGGCTGTGTCTCCGCAGGGCGGGCGCGTAATCCAGAAGCTCCTGGGGAGGCATGGCAATTGTAATGGCACTGGCACAGGGGGCTCGACAGGACTCAGCGAGGGGAACGGCGCGGCGAGGTCACTGCCATGCCCGTGCGAACGCGCTGCTGTCGGGGCCGCCGTGCGCAGCCACTTTCTCCAGCCCGCCGAGCTTCGCTCCTCATCACTGCACCTGCCACCCAACGCACAAAACCGGCCCCGATTTCCCTAGTCCCGCCCCGGTCCGCCCCGCCGGGAGGCGGCCTGGCTCAGCCCTGCCCGGTCCGGCCGTCTCCTCCTGCCTGGTCCCGCGGGTGAGAGCCCCGGTGCTGCACCCCCATCCGCCGCGATGCCCTCCTAGCAGTTCCTGCCCTCGGAATTTCGGTGGGTGCCACGCCGTGCTCTAGATCATGCACGGGAAAGCCGCACTCCATCTGTGCCCCTCCTGCTTCCTTTTCAAAAGAAGCAGGACTATTGCCCCACCTGGGGCATCTGTGATTTCTGCCATAAAATCAGGAAAGGAATAAAACCAACAGTGCTGGTCAATATTGTGAGGGACAATGGAAAACAAATGCCTGAAATACATCACATCTGTTGACTGTGTGATTATCATTACGGTCATTTATCTGACCCAGCCAAGCTCTTGCTAGATGCTGACAAAAGCCACAGAGTGTATTTTTCCAGCTGCATGTACAGGTGCAGGAGTTCCCAGCCTGATGCCTTTTTTCATGTTCACTTTGGTAGCTCACACACCACACAGTGCCCTTGGCAGCTGAGAAGACTCCATCCTTGCCCTCAGGAGCCTACTGTCTAAAGAAGTAGGACTAAACAAACAGAGGAGTGGGAGCACACCACTTAAAAGGAGAGATGCGGCCACACTATCACAGCGATCGTTGCACACCAGCGTAGCACCTCCAAGTGATTGGAAACACTGGTGGGAAACTATTAATGCCTGCAATACCTAGTATTGCAACATCAGCTTTGAATGTGGATCTGTGTCCTAATGGAGAAGCTAAACTCTGGCTGTCTATGAACACCATTAATTTAGTTACCACAGTGTCCTTTATGGTGCTCTCAGCAAGGGAGACCTGTCTGCACTAGGCAGGTTTGTGCTGCAAGGAGCCTCTGATTAGCAGTTCCTGAGCTTGTGTCTTGCTATAGTTTGCATCCACATTGAGAAGCTACACAGGTGTTTCACCTATCTTAATACTAAACTTGAGAAGACGTCTTTAAGCCAGGCACAGTCTAGAATGCTTTTCCTTATGGTTGGCAGAAAGTCACAAGCACTGCAACTCTTCAGATTCACTCTTTGGAGACAGCCCACAAGCTTCCTGGGAACAAGAAGAAAGAAGGCTTTTTATTTGCAGTTTTCTCCAGCAGTTTGCTTTAATCAACCCCTTCTGAGTTTTTACTAAAGCACAGCCTTAAATTTCTACAGCCACAAAAAAAGGAGATGGTATTAGAAATTAGGCTGCTGCTAAAACATGTGCCAGATAGTCTTCCTACAGCAAGTGGCTGCTGTCTCAAGGGACTGGCTTGTATTAGACTGGCTTTTTCTGGTGCCGCGCTCTTCAGTGCTAGTTCAGAGCCAGGTGACAGCTGAACCGCTCCAGAAAAGGCAAAAAGTGCTGCAATGCGTGAGGTGTGGCTGTGCCTCCACTGGGACTGGCAAGGACACAATACACCACAGCCAAGGCAGGCAGCACATCAAGTGAGGACATTGCAGAGCTTTTTCAGTGCACTTCAGACACAGGCTGACATTTTGTGAACTGTGACATTTCCATTTAATCAGAAGATATTAATGTAAATGAGGGATTATTCACCAAATTGTTCACTGTTAGCAGTAGCAGGGGGAAGAGATGAAGCTGACAGCACTTGATTCCTGTATACTGTTTAGTTGGGAATGGATGCCACTTGAGAAGATATACTGTTGCCCCACTCCACTCTTTTTCTCTCATTCCTTTCCTAAAATTTCTTCCTCCTGAGACTATACTCTTTTTTCCTTGCAGCTTCTGACAGCCATTGGCAAACACACACAACTTGTCAATGAGCTTAAGTGATTTTTAATCTATATTTAAACTAAGTGATTAAGCAAACAAACACGGGAGCTCCCATGGGTTTGTTTCTCAGGTCTTGCCTTGCTCCTGACACTGAACAAAAGGTGCACGTTTAGTTTCACAACACGGTAAAAAGTCAGACATTTTGGGTTTTCTAGATTTTTTTTTTTTGCGCAGTTTGGGATTTTTGCAGTGAAAGTCTGCCCCACTCTCTGAGCTGCTGAACTGACAGCCACAGGGACCAGCTCTGCCATGTAGGTAGCAGGTACAGCAGGAAAGCCCCACTGCATGCTGCTTGCCTGACATGCTCTTCTGCCAAAAGCATCTGTGCCTGACTGGGAAATACACAGTCTGCAAGGCTGTGTTTGGCCTATCTCCCAGGAATTATAATTAGTACAAATTATGACGGTCTTTCTCATGATGTGAATTCCCATCCACCAGGAATTAAGTGCAGAAGATCAAACTCTTTTCAGGCAGATCAAATATAGATTTCAGGTGCTGTTAGCGTTTAGCTTTTACTCAGCTGAGCTGCACTATCATGTGTTGCTTCTAAAATGAAATAGACAACCTGCTCCATTAGAGTACAGAGTGATTTACAGTGGAAATAAATCTATATGTTTAGGCAGTGTGTGATTGTTACCATCAAACAAACTTTATACATCTGCACAAAGTCCTGTTTTTAAAAGAAACAGTCATTTAGAGGAAGACACTTCATTTTCTGCCCATTTATAATAATTATAGCCATTTTTCTCACTGCTGCTGTGGAAGGAGAAATTCACCTATTGACCAAGTTAAGACCAGTACATAAACCAATCTGGATGAGGAGGAAACTAGGGCTTGTCCCTTCTGGGGACAAAACTATAGATCAGCTTAGACTATTCCATATAGTTTCCCTTCTGAAGTGCAGTGTTATAATTTTGGGAAATTGTGACACTGGGCTTTTTTTGCAGCTACTGGTCCTGACTTCACAGGCTCCTGAGCAAGATTTTGCCTCCAACAATCTCTTATTCTTCACCTCTGACAACATTGTCTTCTGCCTACCTGCCTGATATTCTGCTCCCGAGTCTTGTCTGAAAGTCACAGACTGGAAGCCACTATCGTTTTTGCAAAGCCTACCGAACTACTCACATTGCCTCAGAAAAAATACCTCATGTTATGGGAGTTGGCAGAACTCAGTTTTAAAAATATTAGGGCTCCCTTCTTACCAAGGGAGAGGAAAAAAAATTATCAGCGCCACTCTTAACACAGAAGTGAGCTAATCCAGCCTTCGGGAATACTTGAATTTGTTCAGGTGGGCTGTGTATGTCCATATGCTCCCTTTGCAAGTGGTGCCCTTGGATCACATTTCTGAATCCTTTTACAGTGCTCTGCAAGAGAAACCCTAAATGATGAGAAATGGGGGAATGGTGAGAACAGGTGGCAACGTCATTCTGCCTTGGGGCAGGTGAGGGGGGATCTAAGACTGAGAGTGGGGCTAAACTGGAGTGCAGGTTCCAGAGCAACACGGGTCCGTGATGCCAAGGGACACGTTGAGGAAATCAAGATACAGCCGCTGCCCTGCCGGTCGCATTCATAGTCATAAGCAATGAGACAACCAGTGCTGAGTCACCCAGTGTTTTGTCATGCACCTGAGTGTGTATCCTCCCTGGGAAAAATCAAGCGTAATTACCACTTAAAAGAAGTGACAGACAAAAGAGTGAAGACAAGAGCCTGCACCCGGTTTTCCCTTGAGGTGTGCCTTGTCTGGTCACTACAACCTGCAGGAAGTGATGTCAAATGCTTCTTCATATAATTTTCTATCAACTTTACAGAGGCAGAAACAGCCACAACACAAAAGTCAGTGAAAATTCTGTGGCTATTGACAGAAAAATTACTACAACTTAAATCAAAGAAAAAAACATTCTATTATTTGCTTTCTAATATAGAGTTCTTGATTGATAGGAATTTCTATAAAAATACTTTACAATTCTAGAGCAGTGAATGGGTACTTCTGGTGTGAACTGGAGCTTTGCGGTTTTGAAATACCTTCTTGGAAAATAAAAAAAAAAAAAGAAAAAAAGGAGAGAAATGACATTTGAATACAGCTCTCACAATCCTGGCCTCTGAATTACTTTATTGCTTCTTCAGAATAAGAGCATGCCATGGGAGATGCACAGAGTTGTTCTGGTTCATCCTTTCACCCTAGTTAAATGTGGAGGCAAAGAGCCACAACAATTTAAGACTACAGAATACTAAGTTTAAATGACATGACAGTGTCACTAGCTCAAAAAAATATTTTCTTAAATGTTCCAAGGAAAGACAAACACCTGTATTGTACTAAGCCCCTTTCTCAAAGACAAATTCATCTCCCATCTGACTTGCACAGGAACAAGTCCTACCTCTCAGTTGTTCTATAAATAATTTAGAAGTGTGTTGCCACCTGCTGGAGAAGGTACATCTTCTAACACATCAACTGATAAATGTGAAAGAACAGGTAAGATTTAAGGCACTCAAAGCCCTTTCTTTAAATCTGAAAGAGAAACAGCAAATTTCAGACTAAAGACAGGTTGGGAGACAATAGTCTGAGCTTAATTTAATCATGTCAATCAATTATCAAAAAAGAGGAGTTAACACTTAACTGGAATGGGTGAGGGAATTAACAAGAGGAAACTGATAAAATTCATACCCCCACTGTGAAACAGGGAAAGGCAGGCAGTTAACACCAAACAGTGAGGGGCTGGGTTGAAGAGGGATTGCTGGGAAAACCATAAAATCCTGTAAGACCACTGTCTCCACCAAGGTACCAGTTTCAGCTCTCAAGCTTATCCTTTATGGATCTTCCTGGAAGGTCAGAACTGAGGGATTAGCCACAGGGTGCTGATGACCAGAGAAAAGGTTCCTGTCCTTTGTATGCTCATTTTAGGACTGAGAGGTTATGCACTAGGTTTCCATGGGGGCTTACAAAGGGCAGAATGCTCTGGAGTGCATATGTAGTATCAACAGACCTTGGTAGTTCACCTGTGGGAAAACTTCTTAAGGTGTCAGGAGAGCCGTGGTATGCAAGTCTGCAATTGCTGCTCTGGCATAAATATGGTTCCACCCAGC